GGGGTACTTGTTTTAAATTTCGATTTCTCAGTCGTGAATTATGGAATTTTCTTGCGGTTTGAAACATAAAAATCTGGGATTTCAGGAGAATTTCCGGGGAATGTGTTTATGTTTTTATTCCGAGCGGAAAGCATGAGTGGTACGATGTAAAGACGAAGAAAGCATTTTAAAATATGAAATTCGACACAAATCGGGCTATCCGTGCCAGGATCATATTCCTAGACATCTCTACCATCAAGTTTATGTGTTTAGAAAAGCCAACTACGTTCAACGAAGTAGAAATATTACTTTTTCTGAAGTGGGGTAACAACCACTTTCGGGAGATCGTCATTCTGCCATTGCGGCTGTTCCATCGCCCATTGCCACCCCCTCTGACTTGACTCAACCAGCAGACGATTAAATAATGGTTCAGTAAAAGAAACATTCGATAGATCTGTTTATGGCGTCAATTTATGTAAGTGTTATCATAATTTTCTTTTAGGATACTTACGAATATCGTGTTTTGAAAAATAAGACTAATCGGCCACCACTTGCCATGTTAATAGATTGTTATTGTTTGGTGGGAATCACGCCGACCTACATTTCCACCACCTCATAGTGAATTAATTGCGATCTATACAAATGTATCGCTTCGTGGTGGTATTTTTGCTGTCTTTTCGACTAAGAACACCTTATTTATTCTAAATGCATCGAAGTCTAAGCATCTCTGGTCGAAAAAGTGAAAGAATAAAGTCGTGAAGAGTTGAACTGGGAGTTCTATTTATAGTAATATGTCATCACACACTACTAAACACTCGGAAGGGGGTTACCGGGTGTTAGTGTTACCGATGGAAATGTTCGTAGATCTATTGTTTGGCATTTAATTTGGTAACAAAAAAGGCTAGATCTACGCTCTTGATTGGTGGATATTCAATTATTGAATCAACCAGCCTTTCTACGTATTCTTAGACTTAGTTAGACTTAGATGTCACCAGATAATTGGAGAAATGCCCCCCCCCCCCCCCCCCCTCTATCTTCCATCCATTAACTGGACACACGATGATACATTTTATTTTTCCCCAGCCACTGGTTTCTTTCTCAGGCAAAAATGATAATTAAATCTAGAGCTAGATCTATATTATACAAGATGAACCACGGCAAAACAGTATGTTGATTTAATTCCAATTTTTAAACCCCGTGAGCAGAAATCTTAATTTTCTGAACCAATATTGATGACTTTTTTCACATTATTGTCCATTTCTGAAATATTTGAAAGGTTTTTACTTTCTATAAATTAATTCACTGTACAGAGCCTGAAGAGAGCTTTAATTTGATATATAATGCAGCCTTTAGCACAATTTGTTGATTTTATATGAATTTTTTTCCAGCCGGCAGACGTTATAATTTTCACTCAATAATGGAAGGTTTTTGGGCATTAGGGCCCTGTTATGGAGTGTTATAAGAGGTTTTAGTAAACAATTTTCATTTAGCCTCGTAGAGCTTGCTTTGAGCTTTAATTTGATGTATGAGTTAGCCCTGTAGCTTAATTTGTTCACTTGTTATGATGCTTTTTGCCCGAGGATGTACCAGAATTCCCCAAATTTTTTTCCAATAGGCGTTTTTTGCACCGAAGCCCACTTCAGAGGAGTCCAGAAAAGTTACTTATGGTCAGAGAGGTCTGAAAAAAATTCACTTATGTCTATGCATGCATTTGTAATGATTGTGTGCTTTTCACTAATGAGGAGGCAGTTTTGACAAATTTGGAAGAGCTTGAAATAGGGTTCTGAGCTCTTAATGACAAATTTTGGCATTAAAAAAATTTTTTGAAGGCCTATATCTTGGAAATCAGTCATTCTAACATGCTTTGATTTAGAGATATCAATATTTGAGTTGACAGCTCTGGGAAAAACAAAGTTTTCATTGATTTGATCATGCACTTTGTATTTTAGAACACCTCAAACATATATGGGTGAAAGTCACAGTTGAAAAGGTTTCGTTCAAAAAGAAAACTTTGAAATACCATATCTCGATTGTTTATAGATGGATTTTTATCATTCTTTTTTTAATGTTCTTGTTTTATAAAGTAGATTTGAACCCCTAAGGTTTAAACATCAATATTGTTCAAAAAATTTTTCGCTTGTGGTACCTACAATAACAGCTTGAAAATAATAACTTCTTAACATTTTCAAAATATACTTTATTTAAGGTACGAACAAGTAGTCAGAATCTAACCAGGGTAGAAAAATCATATCTTTCAAGAGAGGTGGTATTATTTTCCCAAAGTCCAACACAGCTCGTCAGGTTAAATCAATGGAGTCTCTTCGTGAGTGGAAACGTACACAACCAGCTGGAATCCATGACAGACAGAACCATGTACAATCAAAACAATTGGGAAAAGGCTGCACATACACAGTCAAAGGCTCTTGGTGCAAAATTTTAAAAGTTGAGCACTGGCAAAAAATGCTTTGAGGATTATATCCAGTGTATATTAAGCAAACTTTATAAAATAATTATGAACAAACAATAGGTACCATCTAGTATGCGACGGTTTTGCAAGTAATATTAAATTTAGTCACACAGACAGGCACCCATACAAAAAATTGCTTCGACGACTGACAGAAGACGGGTTCAATACTGTTACAAAGTAATACCCTAGGCCTACAATAAATGACAATAATTATTGTAAAAATGAATGAGGACTCAAGGTACCAAGTCTGGAGAAGTCAGAACAGGTATAAAACTTGTTCAAAACATTTATTGAAAAGATTTTCCCCACATTTAACATGACTAATCTGACCAATTTTTTAAACTATGAAAGCATAGTAACCAATGAACTAATTGACCATGAGGACCAGGCAGGAAGGAGGGGGACTCTTGACTTTGGATGAAAATCAGTTTAGAACCCCCCCCCCCCCCCCCC